GGATGTTTTTCTCTATCTTTCTCTCTTCCTTTTCCTCTCTCCCCCTCCTATTTCTCTAAGATCAATGTTAAAAGAACCCAACATATGCTTGGGTAAGGATTAAAAACACAGTTGAGGCATAAATCCTGTAAGCACATTTTAACCCCAAGAAATCAACATACAGGATGGGGCAAGAATAGGTTTACAGTTGTTAATGCAGGAAACAGTTTATTCTTGTATTATTATTTATTAATCATGTATTATTTTCCATAGGAACAACTGTAAACCTACTTTGGCCTTGCCCTGTACATAGAGAACCCAGCACCTTAATGTGAGGGTCATGGTCGGGCATTTGTTGGGACACACACACACACACACACAGCTGTCACTCTTTGTTAGGTTAAGTTTTATGGGTTTCGCACAAGCAGTGTTGCGTGGCTGCCTCTTTAATATCATACAGACTAGTTTTACTGCCCCTCCCAGAAGCTGTGCTTTACCTCTTCAGCCCCCCCCCCCCGCCCTTGGAACCCCTGACAACCGCTGACCTGTTGATATCTTTGTACGTTCACTTTTCCAGGATACAGAATGTCATACCATTGGGATCCCACAGTAGGTGGCCGTTTCAAGCTGACTCAGTGACTTCAGAGTCTTCCACACCTCGTGTGGCTTGGCTCCTCCTTCCCCTCCCCCCTTCTCCCTCCCTCCCTCTCCTGTCTGTAGTCCGTCCTTCCTTCCTCCCTCTCCCCTTTCTCCATTTCGTTTTCATTTTGCAAAATAATACTTGAGTGTGTGGTTGTATCACATTTTGTTCATCCATTCGCCTTTTGAGGGACGTCCTCATTGCTTCCCAGTCATGGCGACAGGGAGTGCAGTTGCTGTAAACGTTTGTGTGCAGGTGTTTGCATGTGAATTTTGGTAGTTTCAAGGAATTGGTCCCTTTCATCTCGGGCTGTCTTTGTAGGCAGAGGGTTGTCTGCAGTATTTCTCTCGTCCTTTTAACGCCCATGTGCGCAGTAGTGATGCCTCATCCTGCATTTCCGATACTGGTGATTTTGTCCCCGGCTTTTTTGGGGGGAATGATGAGTGGGTACCCTGCCTAGAGGTTCATCGATTTTATTGCTCTTTCTAAAGAACCAGCTTTTAGTTTCATTGGTTTCTCTCTTTGTTCTGTTTTCAGTTGAGTTGGTTTCTGTTCTGATTTTTATTATTTATTTTCCTTTGGTGGCCTTAGGCTTAAGTTGCTCTTCTTTCTCTGGTCCTGAGATGGAAGCTTAGGTTATTGCTTTCAGATCTTCCTTTTCTAATACATGCATTTAATGCTAAATTTCTAAGTACTGCTTTCACTGCATCCAGCAAATTTTGATGTTACATTTCTGCTCAAAATAATTTTAAACTTCTCTTGATACTGTTTATTTTCCAGCTACCTGAGGGTTTTTTTGTATTTCTTTTTTTTTTTAGTTTTCTTTTATTGATTTCCAGTTCGGTTTCATTGTGCCTAGTCTTTGGCCTATGGTGAAGCGTGTTTGGTGGCTCAACATGGTCTGCACTGGGGACAGTGGGCTGGAGAAGGCGCCTTCAGCGGCCGTTCCGGTGGCAGAGCGAGGGCGGGCGAGAGTCCTGTGGCCGTCCCAGCGCGTCCCCACGAGCCGGGCAGCCTCTCCCCCCTCGTGGCCTGCGCCCTGCTCACCCTGCTCCAGCGCCCAGGCCCGGTCTCCCAGGAGCCTCGGCCCCTGGGTCCTCTTTCTCACCCTGGGGTTGGACTGTGAGGCCGGAAGGGGCCGGAGTGGGAGGAGCGCCTGTTCCCAGCCGTTGGCCCGGGGAGAGCCAGGCGTGTTTACACCGATTCCTCCTCCACTCCCCGCCAGGCCCACCCCAGGGCTTTTCTGGGATCTTCGCCTTCGCTTCCACCTCGAGCACCTGGTGGGGTTCCTGGAGGTGAAGCGCACAGAAGCACCCCCGCACCCACTGGGGCGCCTGCCTCCCCTGCCAGGTCACAGCCAGCCCCGCGCCCCAGCGGCCCTGCCCCAGGTAAGCAGGGCTCAGCTGCGCCTCCAGGCCTGGGGCGGTGGTCTCTCCTGCCGGGTCATAGCCAGCCCCTTGCCCCAGCCCCTCGCTCCAGCCCCTCGCCCCAGCGGCCCTGCCCCAGGTGAGCAGGGCTCAGCTGTGTGCGTGTCCCCAGGTCTGGGGCGGCAGGGTCTGCCTGGGGCTTCAGCTCTCCACTGGGTCCGGGGGCGCCGTCGGTTTGCGGTTTGTCCAGCTTTCCCTGTTCTAAGGTTGGGAATAGGCTACTAAGCAGAGGTCACCCCCATTTTTTATTTTAATTTAAAAATTTATTTTTCAATTATAGTTGACATGTTATTAGATTACTTTCAGATATAAAACATAGCGATTAGGCATTTATACACCTTACAAAGTGTGGAAGAAAAAATGGGTTCAACGGAAGGTGCCCTTCCAGCCCAATCTGGTCATAAATTCCTCCCCCGGCAGGGCAAGGTGGGCAGGCGCGCCCCAGGCTTGTACCTTCAGCAAAGGGCGGGTCTTTGCCTTACGCCAGCCCTGTCCCTTGTTTGTGTGTGTCCAGGTTAACATGCCCCTCCTTCTAATGCAGAAACAACCCTTTCGACTAAGACTTCACCGCCCTCCCGGGAACAAATGACCGTGCTGCCCCTGCAGTCCAGCCCCTGCTCGCTCGCTTTCCCCGCCTCAGTAACGTTGCTCCCCACAGTTTCAGACACATAGAAGGAACCGCACCCTGGTTATTCTTGGGAGCATGTGAGGTCTTGCGCCGCAGCATAAGCTGTCAGCCTGGCTCAGATGCCTTCTCATAAAGATTCTCTGTAGCCCTGACCGGTGTGGCTCAGTGGCTGAGGTGTCGTTCCACAAAGAGAAAGGTCGCAGGTTCGAGTCCTGGTCAGGGCCCAGGCCCGGGTTGTGGGTTCGGTCCCTTGTCTGGGCGCGTGCAGGAGGCAGCCATCGATGTTTCTTTCTCACATTGATGTTCCTCATTCTTTCTCCCTCCCTCCCTGTCTCTAAAAATAAATACAATAAAAAAATAAATAAATGAGTTTGCAGCTTCTTTCCTGCATTAAGGGAATTAAGGAGGGGTCGCGGGAAGATGCCGGGGAGGTGGGAGGAGGCAGGGTGGGGCCCAGCCTGCAGGAGGCTGAGGCTGTGCTCCGGAGGGCCATCACCCGTTAGATGTCCTTTGGGTTTAATCCCCTTTTTGTGAGGAGAAGGAGAACGAGAGGAAAGTGTTTCCATAATTCTGGGGTCATAAGTGGTTGCACACTGTTCATTTTATGTGCCTGTACCGGGAGCTGCGTGTGGAGGCTGGCCGATCGGCAGAGCTTGTCCAGTTCTGGGACTTAAATTTCCTCCCGTGGGGACGCGCCCTGGGTCCCCGCCTGCTTCCCTCGTTTATCTGCTTGGCCTCGGCCCTCGTTGGATTTTATCGCCCCCGGTGCTGCCGTTAACGGCTGTTTCATGAGGCCCTGACGGACAGATGCCATGCGGGCGCTTCCTTGAGTGGACATGTGGGGTCATAGGTGCTTTGCCATGTTGCCCGCCCTTTTAGTTTCCTTTTCTGTGATTAATTAATGTTGCTGCTTTTCTCCCATCAACATCACCATGAGGTTTTCCATGCATTTGAGATAAAAATAGAGACCGTATCTGTGTTTATGTTCTCCTTAGATTTTCTTAGAGGAGATTAAAAAATGTCAGGGATGTCAAAGGATCATTTCCAGGGAGTGCTTGACATCTGGAATTTGCTCTGAACCTTTCCTCCTTCAATAATCTCTTACTTGCAGTTATGCGCTACATTGCGGGCGATGTTTTCTTCCAGCCTCACAGGGTAGATAAGGAATGAGAAGGAATATGTGCATTTTTGGGCTGTCATCGCCTGGTAATTCCGGAGACATTCGGGAAGGGCCCTGCTGGGGATCGGTATTCGTGCCTGCGTGGCTGTGGCTGAGGTAAAATCTCATGTGTCTCGTATATGGAAGAAACGGACAAATGTTTGCTCTTCAGCAGTTTAGAACAGAGTATACTGTTGAGAAAATAGCTGGAAACTACTAGAAAATAGCTGGAAAAGTACATACTTAACATTTAAAGGTAGACATACCAAAGGAAAACGGAAGCTGTCCTGTTTAGTTAAATAAAAATGTCTCACTAGTCTTGTGAAAAAAGACAGTGAAAGAGGCATTCGGATTTCAAACTAGATCTTGGTTCCTGGAAGAAAGACATTTTTTAAATCATGCTTTTAGAATATCTGTTCATTGTTCAGATTTTATTCTTAAATTTTTGACAAATTAATAGAATTTAAATATCCCTTCCTTTTAGTGTGCTAAAATCTTCATTTGCTTCTGAGATTCAAAGCCTTAACATATTTAATCCTCTCCACATTTGTTCATAAGTGCTAATAGCAGTAAAATGTTTCATAGCTAGTGTAGAGATTAAGAATTAGAATTTACAGCAAAACATTGATAGTGGTAAGATTTTAGGGGGGATAAACGGGAATGAAAAAAATTTTAAACTTAAAAACATGGTGAGATTGCAGGTGGTTTTTAATTTTTAACTTTTTTGATCATCTGCCGTTGGGAGTTTTCAGCATGAGAGCGGAGCTCAGAGTATACACCCCGAGGGCCGTGCGCGCCGTCTGGCACACAGCGCTCCCGCCGCGGTTTAAGCGTGAGCCTTTCCTCTGGGGGTGTGTAGTGGTTTTCAGAAGAAGAGTGTCGGGTTGTATTGTGCATTTACAGGCTGCCGCTGGAAGATGAGCGGCCTGAGTCACAGCACCGTGACACTGCACAACAGAGCTGTCTCGGGGAAGTCTCATAGTGTAGCTGCCAGATGGCGTGTCAGTCGCCCGTGCGCGCCGCGGCCCGTGTTAACACGCGCGGACGGGGCCAGTGCCGCAGAGCAGGCCGGCCCGGCCCCTCCAGCCAGTGTGCTGCTGAGTCCCCCCGCACCTGACGCCGGCGCTGGGATCTGCGTGGCCCGAGGCCTCGGTGGCCCGAGCTGTGTGCGACAGCGACAGGTGCTCCCAGCGGCCTGCGCTGCGGGCGCCGCGTTCGCCGGGCTGCCCCGGGGCCGCCTGTCTGGAGAGGGCCCTTCTGTCACCCCTGCCCTGCTCCGCGGTCCGAGCGTTGGCAGCCCATCGCCAGTCACAGCTCTCAGCCCTCCAGGCCGCCCCCTCGGGGGACACAGCTCCAGCAGCCACCGGGACCTCTCCCCGCGGCCGCTCTTCCGCGTCTTTCATCTGCCCTTCGGGTCAGCCCGCGGCGTGCACCTCGCCTCGCTCTTCTGCGCTTCCCTGGCCCCTGTCCCCAGCGCCACCAGACCGTGACTGACGAAAAACAAAACCACGCCGCCTTGTTCCGCTGGAAGTGGAGTGTGCAGCTGGTGAGCCTTTTATTCATTTACGTTTTGAAAAATACTCCCCGGTGCCGTCCAACTGCGGACATTCTGGCTTAATTAACTATTTAAAGTTTATGGTTGAAAGGATTTGCTGACTAGTCGTTTGGTATTAACTGCCCTTTAGGCGTTTGCTGTGACCCTCCCTGCGGAAGGCGGTCAGCCCCGGCGGCGGCCCGTAGGGGGCACCGCGGACAGTACGGAGCAGGAAGACCGCGCGCGGTGCAGGTGCCGGGCTCATCGTTTGTTAGCGTGGATTAGGCTACGTGTTCAGCTTTGGAGTCTGGTTTAGAGGCTTGAATTTCTGAGGTGGTTAAGCACCTGTCGTGAAATAACAGGCATCTGATTGCACTGCCCTGTCTTCTGGGTGTTAACTTGTTGGCCTGTCTGAAAACGAAGCATCTTCGTTGCATCTGATGACTGTTGGAGTTAATAACATAAAAGAAATGACAAGATTTTATGAATTTCTCTTGTTTTCAAGAGGTTCCTTAATTTAGTATAATGATTCACAACATTAAAAAATGTCCTCTAAAGAATTTCCTAACCAGCCCGGCCCGTTGCCTGAGCGTCGCCCTGGGGCTGTGGTTCCCGGGCAGGCACTGCGCGCAGGCACGGGGGTGGGGGGGGCAAGCACAGGGGTGGGGGGGGGTGGCGGGCGGGGCAGGGCGGGGCGGCACGGGCGGGGTGCGGGTTGGCCTCCTGCCGCCGTGCCCGCGTCTGGGGGGCGGTCCGTCAGTGCTGCGCTCACAGCGCTCTCTCCCCCGGCTCCCTCCATCTCTCTCTCTCTCTCAAATCAGTGAACGTTTAAAAAAAAATTTCATAATATGGCTCGAGGAAAATAGTATTTACCGGACAGGGTTATCGAGGGTTAGCAGTTTAGTACATTTGCCAGGTCAGGAAACGAGGCCCCGACAGCGAGCCGCTGTGGAGGGGACGGGCCTCGGGGGCCGCGGGGGCCTGGCCCCGGCCTGTGGGTGTGGCTGTGAAACGCCTTCGGGTTTGCCCGCAGCAGCTGGCGGCCACGCGGGCCGACGCTCACGCAGTGGGCACAGGGCCGTCACCTCCTGCTTTACCACAGAGGCCTTCGTTTGTGAGGCTGGGCAGTGGGAGCCACTGCCTTCTCGTGGCCTTTGTAGGAGGAAGTTAGAACTTAATCTTGTCTTTTTGTGATCAGTCGCTCCCGAGTCGGGCTGTGCACCAGCGCCAGCCGGGGAGTTTGTGGACGCTCTGGGCTCCCAGTCTCACCCCGCCCACTCTGGTGCGGCCCGCCGGGCGCGGCGCCCCAGGGGTCTGCGTCTGCAATAGGCCCCCGAGGGCCCCGTGGTGGGGACGGTGCCCTCCGTTACTGCGTGTACGATGGCCCGGCGCGCGCGCCGGTGTGGCCACCTGACCTTGCTCCTGTGTTTGGAGAAAATGATTTTTATCGCTGTACCCGTTAGTATCATTTGTCCTCTGAGACTTTTGGAGATGTCTTTGTCAGGTTAAGGATTTCTCTGTTCCTGGCTTGCTAAGAATTGAGTGTTGAAATTAAAAAAAAAAAATTATTGGTTGCTTTTAGAGAAAAAGATTGATTTGTTGTTCGACTGATGTAGACATTCGTAGGCTCCTGTGTGTGCCCTGACTGGGGGTCGGACCCGCAGCCTTGGCGCGGCGGGGGCGCTCTAACCCGCGGGGCTGTGAGTTACATTCTTTCCTGGAGCGTTTTAAGGTAGTGGGTAAGAGTAATAGGTTTTTAGATACTGAACCACCTTTGTAGTCCTCAAGTAAATACAATTTGTTCACAATGTACTTCTTTTTGTAAAACAGCGGTGTCTGTTTTAATGTTTTAAGATTTTTGTAGCCTCTTTGAGCTTGTCTTCCTTATTCCTAACCGTCCCTGTTCTGATGTCGGGGTGGTAACAGTCTCAGGAAGTGAGAGAAGGGTCCCTCTTCCTGTTCTTTGGCGGCAGCCACGTGAGACCAGTCACCTTATGTTCCTCACGTGTGTGATGGAGTTCACTTGTAGAGTCGCCTAGAGATGTTTTTGAAATGGTTTGATATTCGTATGGGCTATAAGGCTGTCCAGGTTTGCTGCTTTTCCAATCAGTGCTGGGCATTTATATTTTTCCAGGAATTTGTCCATTTCACCTGTTTGTGAACAATACTTTTATTTTTAAGCTACTCTTTTATGCCTTCTTTTTTTGTCTTTGGTATTATTTCCACTTTCTTTTTTTCTTGATTAGTCTTGCCAGTGCTGTGTTCATTTTATGGATCTTTTCAAGAACCAACTTTTGGCTTTTGTTATCTTGTTTCCTCTTACTGTTTGTTTTTTTGGGTTGATTCAGTTATATTTTTCCAAATTCATAGATGGTATTTTCTAATACTAGCATCCCAAGGCTATAAATTTGGTGTTTGCTTTCTCTTACCAGTTTTGAAAAGTAGTATTCTCCCTATTTGGTTCTAAATAACTCCTGACTCCCATTCAGACATCCCATTTTTCCAGTTCTTTTTTTGTCATCGATTGGTTTTCACCCCGTGGCGTTGGCTGTGACCCGGGCATCGGCTCTGCGTCCTCGGGACCAGCTCTCGATTTGGGCGTCGCCGCCTCAGCAAGGCCTTCGTGACCCCCCGCCTGCACTTCGCGTTGCTCTTCTCCACCGTGTTTTGGCCCCTGGGCGCCCCCCCCTTCCCGGAATGGCCCGGCACCACGCTGCTCCGGACAGCAGGGCGGCAGGCCGAGCCCTGAGGCCGTGCGCCTGGAGACGGTCGGGGGAGACGCAGGCCGAGGAGGGGGGCGGCGGGGGCGGCGTGCGGGGGCGCGGGGCACACCGTCGAGCGTGGTTGCGATTCCACATTTCACAGGCGTAGATGAGTGCCGAATGACGTGAAATCGAGGCAGGGGCAGGGTTACTCACCCGGGGTATGGGTGAGGGCCATGGGAGGACCGTGGAGGAGGAGAGTTAAAGCTAGGGCTTTGATTCAAATGTGAAGGGTAACGTGGGGGGGGGGGGGCGGGGATTCAGGGAAAGAAAAAGATGAGACGTGAACGTCGGTGTCCCTCTGGCAACCGGAGCTGTGTGGCGGGACCGCCCCGGCAGGCCGTCCCTCCGCTGGCTTCCGTCCGTGGCGACAGGAGAGGGCGGCGGGCCGTCCCTGTGTCCCTTTGCGCGGCTCCCGCCTGTGCAAGCAGGGCAAGGGGGGCTGGGGTGGGAGCGGCAGGCCCGGCCGGCCTGGGGACAGCCGCCCCAGCGCAGCCTCGCCCTGCAGCCGGGGAGGGGGCTGCGCCCAGAGGCCGGGCTCTGCGGGGTCCCCGGGGCCGCTGCGGGAAGCCGGTGTGGTTCTCGCGGCGGCAGCTTGTGTCTACATGCCTACCCTCCAGTGAGTATTTTAGGAAGTTACAATGTCTGTTTTAGTGAAATCTAATGTTTCTCCTGAACGGCTCGGTGCCTTATTTACACTTTTGTTGCAAAGTGGCGAATTTGCAGCTTTCTGTCTTGGCCTTGACAGCCGCATTCCTCTTGCCTAGAGAACATTTTCTTCCGCTTCTGAAGAGAGTGGTGGTTTTTACAGCACGTCTTTGTCATTTGAAAGTGTGAACAGCTGACGTGACAGCGCTGTCACGGTGCCTGACTCTCCTTTTGCGCCGGGTCACCTCCAGCCACTGCCCTGGTGTGACTGCAGTGGGGTTCTGTTTGGGCGCCACTGTTGTTGGTTTCGTTCGCTTTTTAAGCTTTGGAGTGGACGTGCAGTAACATAACAGCTTGGTTGGTAGGTAGTCACGACATGGAGCTGTTTACCCACCACTCCTCCTTCTAGGCTTATGATGTCCAGAACAGCTTAATTTTGCAAGTGAGACCTAACTGACACTGATTTGCTTTGTCCTGATTGGGGGGTGGGAGAGATGGTAGTAATATTTTTAAAATGATTTCATACTGTAGAAAGCAGCACTGTGTCAGTATTGCTTTGTAGGTTTCTTCTGTGTGCACATCGCTCATACAGGGCTTCGCCGCCGTAATGCTCTCGGAGACGGCTGTGTGTGTAAGCTGGTCTCCTTACAGCGAATTCCTCGGGAAGCTGAGTGCCGCCCCGTGGAGGCCAGATGTCGTCGGGAGCTCAGGGAAAAGTGGCAGTGCTCGGTGGTTTATGGGACATCATAAGAAGGAAAAGAGAATTCGAATTCTTTCCACTGTACATTTAAAATGTAACTGTTTAATCTGGAGTAGCATTAGGGTAGGTTTAACCTTTGATCGGAAAGTAGGACTGTTTTTTTTTTTAATGACAGATTGTAAGAGCCTTGGGTTAAAGGAATCTTGCGACTTTACACTTGGAAGGGATCCTAGATGGACTGTGATGACACATCGTACTGGAATTATCCTCATTAAAACTTGGAATCTGAAAAAAGTCACCAGGCTGAAAGCAGCCCAGGGCAGAGGGGGCGCGGCTCCCGTTGGCGGGCAGACGGACAGGTCCGCTCTTCCGCTGCCGTTGGCGCTCTGAGCACTGACACACTGGCCTCTGGTTTCAGTTCTGCTCTCCACGTATGTCCTTCCCTTTGAATCTTCACCGCACACGGTGGGGGTCCCAGTACGTGAACAGCCGAGGACGTGCCGCGGTGGTTGGGGAAGCGGTGACCAGGAGCTCGGTGGGTGACTGACCGGGGTGCCCGTGTCTGACATGTCTGCGCTTTTCTTCCAGGACGTTGACAATGGCCCTCCGGCGATGCTAGGTCTATAATGGGAAGCGCCACAGTGCGGTACTTCTGTTACGGGTGCCTTTTTACGTCTGCGACCTGGACGGTCTTGCTCTTCGTTTACTTCAACTTCAGCGAAGTGACTCAGCCGCTAAAGAATGTGCCCGTCAAGGGGTCTGGGCCCCGCGGGCCGCCCCCCGAAAAGTCCTATCCCCGCCTCGCTCGGGGTCCGGGTCGGGCGCTAGAATTACGGTCCAAGGGGAACAGAATTGACGATGTGGTCGACAGTCATATTGAGGATGCAGAGAAAGGCGACGTGCAGTTCTCTTCTGAATTGGGTGAGTTTGAGCTTTGCTACCAGCAGGTCAAACTATTGAATCCTCGGAAGTTTAAGTTTTAACTATTCTTCTAACCATGTGGTGTACAGGGGGTTAGAAATGGCATTTCCCCCACCAATTGGTTCTGTTCATGAACTAGCTGGGGTCTTTATGATTTTTGCGGACTTAGCGGGGCCTTACATTCTAATATGTCCAACCCGGACTTCAGTGTTTTATGAAGACTTGGGAGAAACTAGGAAGATTCAGAACAGAAAGTGAAAAATTAAGTGGCTGGGAAGACGGTGGGACTTTTGGGGGAAGATTCTAATTGCTATCACTATTTAATAAGGGAAAGAAATGATGGAAACATGCCCCCATTTAACATATTTTGAAGGGCGCAGAGTTACTGTAATTAAAATACCATAAGCCACCTGATTTAGGAGTAAACTGAGACTATTATATCTAATTTCTGCTTATTAGAATTATTAAGGTGTTGGAATATAAAATGCTAAAACATAGGACTTTATAAAATCTGACTTACATAAAATAGAAACTTTTTTCCTGCAAAAATTATATTCTGTTCAGTTTGGCAGCAGGAATCTACTGTGTGTGTTTTTGAATATTATCATTCTAGAGCGCTGCTTTTAGCAAACTTTATACGGGGTAAATGAGCCGTTTCGGTTTCTTTAAAACTTAAAATTTGATCTCATCATGGAAGCATCAAAGATTTTGAAAGATTGAAAGATTCACCGAATATAAAGGAAACGTTTAAACCTTTTCTGGGTTTGATCGTGGTTTCAGAGAAATAAAATCAGTTTCTAGGACTTAAAGACATTCTTATACATGAAGTCAAAAGTATTTAAAATTATATGAGGAAACAATCTTCAGTTTTCATGAAAAACAACTTCTAATCTTTTTCAGAAAGCCACTTACTTAGACATTTTCAGACTAGTAAGGGGAAAAGTTCTAGGTTTTTTTCCACAGTTATTTTGGTAAAGCTTTTATAAGTTGGTTTACCATTGTGAATGGACATTGTATTTGCCTTTGGAAGAAGCGGTGAGAGAACAGGAGCTGTGTGAAGTGCCAAACCCAAGCTGCTGGGCTGCACAACTGAGTTCTTTATAAGAGACCCTAAAGGATACACAGAAACGCTATTACAGCTAATACATGAATTCAGCACGATTGCAGGGTGTAAGATCAACACACCAAAAAAAAAAAAAAAAGTCGTATTTTCATACACTAATAACGAATGGGATGAAAGTAAAATGGAGAGCAGTTCCATTTACGAAGAGTAAAATATTTAGGAATAAACTGAACCAAGGAGGCGCAAGAGACACACATCGAAAGCTACAAACGCCACTGCGCAGAAGGACGGCGGCTCCGAATAGGGGGAGGGACGCCCTGGGCACCGCCCACGCAGGCCGCCAGGGTCCCGCGGCCTCTGCTGAGGGGACGAAGAGCCAGAGCTAAAATTAATGTGGAATTTGTCGGCCAAGAGACATCCAGGCCTGCAGAGTTTTTATTAAAATTTACTGCGCCAAAAAGAGGATTCCCCTGGAAGCAAGTTGTCAGCTGCCTGAGGTGGCGCTTCTGGGAGGAACTGCTGGCAGTTCCCCTTACGCATCAGAAAGTGAGGGGGAGCGTAGATAAGCAAGAGTACCTGGAGCGGGGAGGCAGCGGCTCAGGGGTGCGGGCGCCTGCGGTCAGGACCGCGTGCTCTCCCGGGGGGCCTGGGAGGGGGCACCTCGGAGGCGCGTTAGCCTGGGTGCGCGGGAGTGGCGGCAGGGCCCGCTTAAGGCAAAGGGAGGCCTGCCCAGTGAGGACCTGGTGATCCGGTCGCTCTGAGAGCGTGCTTTCCAGAGACCCTGTTTTTTGTTCACAAATTGCAGGCGGCTCTGAATAGCCAGAGCAGTCTTGAAAGAACAGAGTTGGAGGGCTCACATGTCCTGATTTCAAAACTTCCTCTAAAGCTACGGTAATCAAAACAGTGTGGTGCTGGCACGGGACAGGCACAGATCAGTGGATAGCCTGGTAAGTATTAATAAACCCTATGACATCCATGGTCAGTTCATTTTCAAAAAGGGCGCCCGGGCCACCCAACGAGGCGAGAATGGCCTTTTCGACAGATGGCGGTGGGACGAGTTATGCACATGAAGAGGAACGACCTTGGGCCCTCACCTGATGGCGTGTATAAAAGTGACACGAACTCAAAGTGGATCAGACGTGAGTGTGAGCGCAGAACTGCTAAACCCCTTGGGGGACCCCAGAGGGGTAACTCTTCATGGCCTTGGATTTGGCAGTGGTTTCTTAGCTGTGACCCCAAAAGCACAAGCAAGAAAAGAAGAAATGGGTGGGGCTGCGTCAGAGCGAAAGCCTTCTGGACGTCGGAGAGCGCTGCCCAGGGAGGGGGCCGGCAGCCTGCGGCGGGGTGGGCCTGTGCGCGCCCCCTCCAACGGCCGTTATCTGGGGCGTCTGAAGGACTCTTAACAACTCAACGGTAAAAAGACAAGTAAATTACTCAGTTTAAAGTTGGGCAAAGAATTTGATATTTCTCCAAAGAAGATAAGCCAGCCAGCGTACGAAAAGATGCTCAAAATAAGTAGATATTGCAGAAATGCAAAACCAAACCGCAGTGAGATACCATTTTGCATTCTCTAGGATGGTTATAGTTTTTTAAGAAAGGAAAGTAGTAGGTGTTGGTGAGGGCGCGGAGAAGCGGGGCCCTTGCGTGTTGCTGGCGTGTGTGTAAATGGCGCAGCCGCTGTGGAGAGGCTTCGGCAGCGAACACGCAGGGAACTACCGCGTGACCTAGACATCTGCTCCACGCCCGAGCGCGTACCCAGAACTGCAGACGGGTGTGCAAACGAAGATTTGTGGTCAAGCGGTCGCCGTGGCACATTTTCTCAGTGGACGAAAGGAGGAGACAGCCCCTTTGCCCACGGGCCGCTCCGGAAGGACACACAGCATGTGGCATAGGCGCAGCGGGGCCCTGCCCAGGTGTGCAAGGGGCTGCGGTCACCCTGTGCGCTGTGACGTGGGCGAGTCTTAAAAACACTGTGAGCCGAGGGGTCAGGACACAAAAGGTCGACGACCGTGTGCTTGCTTTTATACAAAATGTCTAGAACAGGCGAATTCAAGAAGACAGAGAGCAGGTTAGTGATTTACCAGGGGCCGAGGGAGGTGAGGGGAGCGACTGCGTCTGGGTTCAGGGCTCCCTTCTGGGGCGGGGAGCCCTCTGCAACGGGACAGTGGGGATGGCTCTGCAAGGTGCACGGCCCTCAGAGTCCTGAGTGGTGCACGTCCCGTCCATCCATGCCGCCGTAATCCAAACAGTGAGAAAAAGCCACTGAATGTCTTACAAAGAAACGTTCATTTAAACGGAATTGATATGAATCAGTGTAGTAATAATTACAATGTACTGATTTCTGAAGAGGGCTCTATCAATAGGGGAAATTCTGACATCAAAGGGGATTGAAAGTGACACAGGTAAGCGGAGGCACGCACCGCGCTCCTGGGTAGGAAGAAGTAACAGCCTTGGAATGTCCGTGCCACCCGAAGCCGTCTAAAGATTCGGCGCGGTTCCAACGAGAAACCAATGACACATTTCACAGAGCTAGAACAAATATTTCAAAAATTTATATGGAACCACAGAAGACCCCGAATAACAACAGGTGGTCTTGAAAAAGAACAGCAAACTTGGAGGAGTCCCACAACCTAGTATTGAACTGCACTGTAAGGCCTCAGCAGTTAAAACCGACGCAGAGCGCAGTGGGCCAGAGAGCCCGGAGAGAAGCCCACGCTGGCGGCGTCACTCGGCCTGCGGGGAGGCGGCACGCACGGCGGGCCCGAGAGAGTGTACTCAGTGAATGGTGCTGGGGGGACTTAGTGTTTCCCAGAGGACCTGGGTACTCTGGTCATGCAGTCAAAGGAGTTGGGGGCACGCTGCCTCCCTTACCGTTCTCCACACACATACATCCATGTACACATAGCCATGCATAGAGCCGCCGTATTAAAGGCTCCCAGCTGTCCTGCCACAGAAACGTTCCACTTGGGAGACCCCGCGCCTCCCTGCCTTGCCTGCGGCCAGGGCCCTTCTCTCTCACGTCTGTTAATGCTGTCCAGGCGCGCTGGTTCCATGGCCAGGCATCAGGGGCTGCCACGGGGGAGGGGGAGCTGGAGGAGCCTCGGTCTAGGGCAGGGCAAGAGTTCAGGCACGACAGCAGGGACATTAGACTGAAGTGATTTTGATTGGATTTGTGGAGGACTTGATTGACTGATGCTGTTTAAACCTGGAACCAAGGACTTTATAGAAGAGTTTCCCAGTCTTTTTTATGGGAGTGGTTCATATAAAAACTTGCCTGTAACTGGGACCTGTTGAGGTCTATATGAGTTCTAAAATTACTACTTTTACAGAAAATAATCAAGTTTCTTTTCTCTTGGTCAGAGGTAGGTTTTTGTCTTGAAAGTATTCTTAAGGTTATGGTTAGTGAGAAGGTGTCATTTATGTTTGAGGTACACTTGCTTTTTGAGTTGGACTGATAAAAATGGGTTGAGAAACATGGCTCTTAGCTGGCTGTGAGAATTCAGAGTCAAGGTTTTCCTGATGCCCTCACGTGACAGTGGACGTAGTGGCTTCCGCCGACTCGGCGCTGACTGTGACTTCGCCCTTTGCAGGCATGATTTTCAACGAGCGCGACCAGGAGCTGAGAGACCTAGGGTACCAGAAGCACGCCTTCAACATGCTCATCAGCAACCGCTTGGGCTACCACCGGGACGTGCCAGACACAAGGAACGCAGCGTACGTGCCCGCCTGGCCGGGAGTCACGGGGGCGACGGTGGTGGCCTGCAGTCAGGCTCTGCCGAGACTGTGCCCGCCTCGCAGGGTCTGGGGGGCGCTCGCCAAGTTCTGGGGTTGGCCGTGTCTCTTAAGAGTTAAAATCACGTGGGGAAAGGAGAGAGGTCCTGACTGCCTATAATTATTTAACTTTGTAAGCATAAGTTTTTAAAGATGTTAATGTATTTGGATTCATGGCAAAAAGGATTGAAATCAGTGAAGAATTTTACTCATCGTCTTCCTTTTACATTTTCATTATTTTTGTTTTTGTCAAAGGCTTTTTATTCATATGGTTGCTTTTTGAGTTGGGACTGATAAAAATTTGGCTTTAACCTCAATTTACTTTTCATTCATGTGGTTAGTCATTCCTTCCACGGACAGACTAGTTTGAGCATCTTCTGTTTGCTAGACACCGTGCTAGGCCTCAAAATACACGGAATAAAATGTCTCTGGGCTCACAGGCCTTCAGATGGAACAGGGGAGGTAGGTGAGAAACAAGCAACGCAGCAGCAGGAGGGTGAGGCCTGTCTGGGGAACTGGCGCAGGGGGCCCGCGGGGCGGGCGGAGGGAGGGCTGGGCAGCGCAGGGGGGAGGGCCGAGCAGCGCAGGGGGGAGGGCCGGGCAGCACGGGGAGGGCGGGAGCGGAGGGAGGCCCGGCTCGCTGGGGCCGCACCGGGCGCGGGGCAGGAGGCTGGGGCGGGCAGGGCCTGGCCCTGGGGGCTCTGCTGCGTGCCTGTTCGGTTCTGTATGTTAGTGGTTTTTTGTTGTTGTCGCATGAAGCCCCCTGACGATGAGCTGCTTACATGGAAGGCCTCCATTATCGTAGTGTGCGCGTGTCTGTTGGGCAAAAAATAAAATGGTCAAACACTAAGCTTTGTATTTTTGTTACTTCCTTTGGAAACCTCAGAGAGGAGAAGCTGAACATCAGCTTACAAGGGCTGCATTAAAAACTGTGAATCACTCTATGTAACCTAAGTACCAAAAAAGAAAAAAAAATCAAAAATTTAAAATGTTGACATGAGAGGGAGAAATTACTACCAAATGGAAAACATGTAAAAAAACCACATTGTTGTCCTGAACGCTTAAACGGTTAGAAGGAAGAGGCTGAACAAGGCAGTGGGTGACGTCTGGTGAATGACGATGACCTGAAACATTGCGCCTTTCCCAGAACCCTTCTCCTCTACCTTTGCAGATGCAAAGCCAAGACGTACCCGGCGGACCTGCCGGCAGCCAGTGTTGTGATTTGTTTCTACAACGAAGCCTTGTCTGCGCTGCTCCGGACCGTGCACAGCGTGCTGGACCGCACGCCCGCCCAGCTGCTCCACGAGGTCATCCTCGTGGACGACGACAGCGACATTGGTAAGGCCGTCCGGCCTCAGCAGCGCCGGCCGCAGCAGCGCAGGCCACGGGCCGCACAGCGGACAGGGAGCCCCGGGCCCGCCGCTGCAGTGGGGCGGCCGCGGACAGATGCCTGTCGATGAGCACGGGGCGATCGTGAAGAAACGGCATTGCCTTTGTACCCAAATTTGGCCCTTGAAATGTTTCCCTTGCCTTATGTTTTTTAAAAGTCTTTATTTTGAGCCATATCTGACAAACTCGTAGCTAACATCTTACTTAATGGGGAAAAGCTGAAAGTGCATTCCTTAAGATCAGAAACAGGACAAGGTTGTCCACTTTTACCACTTTTGTTCAGCATAGTATTAGAAGTCCTAGCCACAGCAGTCAGGCAAGAAAAAGAAATAAAAGGTACCCAAATTGGAAGAGAAGTAGTAAAACTCATTATTTGCAGAACCCTAAAGATTCCACCAAAAACCACTAGACCTGATAAATAAATTCATGAAGTAGCAGGTTACAAAATGAGTATTCAGAATTTGCATTTTTATACAATAATAAACTATTAGAAAGAGAAGTCAGGAAAACACTCCCACTGGGGTTTGTTCCAAGACGGCTGTGGAGTAGGTGAAGGTTACAGTCACCTCCTGCCAGGGCCAGAGTGGAAATAGAGCGAAACTGTCGCATAGTCAGCCTGAGTGACCTGCTGAAGACCGGCTGAGCCGAGGTCTTACAAATGAGGACTTAAAGCAGCAGCCATGTCAAGATTGATAGAAACGGCAGAGACGCGAAAAGGGAAGAGGTTAAGAAGTGCACGTTAGTAGTAACAGAATAGTCACGGGGTGTAAAGCGCAACGTGGGGAATGTAGTCAGTAATATTCTGATGACCGTGCACGGCGGCAGGTGAGCACTTGAAGTATCGGGGACCACTTTCCAAAGTATCGGGTTATCTAACCACTGCGCTATACGCTTGACACTAATCCATAAAAATACTGAATGTGAACTTAAAAAAAAAAAAAAAAGCACATGGTATCTGTTGCTGCGTTTTTGGTGACGTAAAGATAACCAGTTGGTTGCAGTATTCTTACTTTGATTCACCTACACTGTAAAATTTCCCATTAGTCTTTTACCTACATTTTATTCGTGTGCTGGTTTTAAAGAAGTCCCATTTACAATTGTTTCAAAAACAAAAACAAAAAAAACACCACTCATGAATAAACTTAGCCAAGGAGGTAAAAGACCTTAACTTAAAAAATTACAAGATACTGAGGAAGATACAAATAAATGGGAGCATATACGGTGTGCACGGATAGGAAGAATTAACATTGTTAAAACTTCATACTACCCAAAGAAATCTGTAGGTAGATTCAGTGCAATCCCCAAAATTACCAAATACATTGAATACCAAAGACATTGTTCCCAGGACTAGTACCAATAATCCTAAACTGTATATGGAACCACAAAAGACCCTGAATAGCCTCAGCAATCTTGAGAAAGAAGAACAAAGTTGGGGGGCTCATGCTGCCTGATACAAACTGTACTACAAGGCCATAGCAATCAAAACAGTATGGTACTGACATAAAAACAGATACATAGATCAATGGAACAGAGTAGAGAGCACAGAAATAAACCCATATCTATACGGTCAATTTACGACTGGAGGCAAGAATATACAATGGGCTAAAGATAGTTTATTCAACAAGTGTTGTTAATAAAATTGGACAGACATGCAAAAAAAAATTAGACACCTTTTTACACTATATAGAAGAATAAACAAAATAGATTAAATACGTAGGTGTAAAACCTGGAACTGTGAAAACTAGAAGAAAACAGGCAGTAAAACTCGGACATTGATATTAGTAATATTATATCTCTTCGGGCAAGGGCAGCAGAAGAAAAAGTAAACACATGGGACTGCATTGAACTAAAAAGTTTTTGGACAGCAAAGGAAACCATCCTCAAAATGAAAGGACAGCCTCGAAGTGGGAACAGTCATTTGCCCTTGGGAGGTCTCTGCTGCAATTACATAGTTTTCTGCAGGGGCAGCAGCAATTGTTCCTCGGTTATTCTGAAACAGAGTAAGACTTGATCGATTATTTTGAAACAAAAAACATTTACCCCTCATTTCCTTTGTGTTCAAACTGATTTAATGCAGCCAGTGGGATATTCTTTATGCAAAGCATTATGCTAGTTGCTGTCAAAATATAAATAAATGTCTTCTTGGCCAGTATTCCAACTCCTTTCATTTCCTTCCGTTTTTCTTTTCCCCCTTATAGGATAACCCACGATCTTCTTTTAAACTATAACAGTGGATTCTATAATAATTATTTGTGAGATTATTGCAAGTACCAGATACAACTTTAGAGCAGCTATAAAATTCGTGTGTCTCATGGTTTGGATAATTACCAGAGTTTTTATTTTCAGATGATTTGAAAGGACAGCTAGATGAATTTGTCCAAAAACAGCTCCCTGGAAAAATTAAAGTAATAAGAAACCCAAAGCGGGAGGGATTGATTCGAGGAAGAATGATCGGAGCTGCCCACGCAACAGGTAAGGTTTCCCGCCGGTGGGTCGTGGTGCTGAGTGAAGGTGCTGCCCCGGGGAGTGGGGGCGGTTCTGCGGAGGCCTGGGGGGGGGGGCTCCTAAGGGGCGCTGCCGCGGGGCGGCGGGGGCTCGCTCAGCCTGGGGAAGGCCTCTGCCGGCTCCCGGCCCCGCCGCCGCAACACCCAGGCTGCGCGTGGCGGGGCACCCGGGCCCGCTGGGGCCGCCTGCTTACTGCGGACCGCCGCCCCGAGACACGTGTCCGTCTTTTTCACGTAGATTAGGAGGAGGGTCCAAACCAAGATGCAACTGGAGTTTTGTAGTTTTTTAAATACAAAGTTTAAAATACATCCGAACTGTTAGATTTGAATTATGCCAATAATTCTTAAAGCACAAGGCATACCTGGTGACGTGCGCTGCTTTCGTTGGGTAAACAACACTAAAGGTTGACTTAAGCCCTGACTGGGTGGCTCAGTGGGCCGGGGGTCGTCCCACAGACGGAAAGGTCGCCGGCTTGAGTCGCGGTCAGGGCGCGCGTCTGGGTTGCGGCCCGGTGTCCCGTCGGGGTGCGTGCGAGAGGCAGCCGACTGTTGTTTCTCTCCTTCTCTTTCTCCCTCCTTTCCCCTCTCTCAAAAATAAATAAAATCTTTAAAAAAAATTGACGTACATAACTATAAAGGTATTTTCTTTAGAATCCTCTTCCTCCTCCTGATCGCACTGAGAAAGCCCTCGCTGGCGCCGCCTCTGTAAAACCTTTCCAGCCCCCACGTACCCCGGCCCTTTCAAACAGATGGAACGGGTGTCAAATTCAGAACCTTTTGCTGAAAGTGCCTGGTTAGTCTTCAGTTGATTCCACTGTATTTCTTCTTACAGTGAATTCTGTGTAAGACCGGCGATCCTGATTGTCATTTATCATCTTGGTAAAAAAAAATTTCCTTTTACAATAAATTTAAGTTCAATAAATTTGTTTACAGGTGTTAGGTACCGTATGGTGCCGTGTATACTGGGCCCCCGTGTACAATGCGGGCCGTTTTTGTGCATGTTGTACACAGATTATGCCCGTTACTATACTCATGGCATGTAATCATTATACCCCTGTATAACGTGCATCCTTATTTTTCCCTCAATTTAAGCAAAAAGTACGCACTGTACACAGCAAAAATGGTATACCGTGCTGCGCGTACCGCATGAATACAGCGCCCCCACAGGAACGCGGTGTGTTCAGGTGCGGCTGCCAGTTCGCCGCATGACGCAATGTGCGTGGCAGAGAAGGTCAGTGTGGCCCTCGTGGCCGAGTCACACTGCTCGTCCCCCCGTCAGACACGGGGGCCCTTCAGCGACGCGTCCTGCCCGGCGCGGGCTGTTAGGGTCGAGGGGCCGTCGCAGACCAGACGTTCTGACCCCTCCCGACGGAGTGGGAGTGAAGGCTGCTTCGATGGCGTCTTGGTCGTTCCGAGCAGTTAGAAGCGGTGACGCCATCAGACGGCATTATTGTTCTGAGGTTTATCTGTGAAATGGCCCCTGCAGGCTTCACACGCGTGACTGACGGCAACACTGTCATCCCATTTTGATCAACGAGAGCAGGGACAGCGCGGCAAGAACGTCCTCCGCGAGGACAGTGAGCGAGTCCTGTCGCGGGAGGGGAGAGCGCGCAGGGGCGGCTCCGATGTCACCGAGTACAGAAGGCAGGACGTTCAACCCGCACGCCAGTCACGTGTGTGACGTCGGTTAAATCCAGGTTCCTTTGAAAGGATGGGTTTGTAGATTTTCTTAATTCTACAAGTGTTACTTTTTTTCAAGTTAACGAAATGAAGTGAGATTACACACGGTCACATTGAACCCGAGACTGGCTTCCCCAAAACTGGCTTGTTTCTGACAGATCCCAAGGTACAGTTTTGAACAAACACCAGCCGATCATAAAAGAACAAATCCTAAGTGATTACCGGTATCTGAAAAACACAAACTGGCAGTAATACCGCGCTGTCATGGGACAGTGTCAGGTGGCATGATCTTGCCCACCCCACAGCTACCCACAGGTGCTCTCAGTAGTCAGCGCGGCTCCGTCAGCCTGGGGCAGAATTAAGAATAACAGTCGTAAGCCTTGAATTTAGCCTGCAGACGGAGAAGAGTTACTTCTCGTATTTTTGCTAATTGCTTCCGTTCCTTGTAGGCTTAAGAGAAAGGAGGGAAGAAGAACCTAAAAGCGAAGTCCCAACTGCACCCGGCACACAGGGCCGTGGCCGTGCAGGGGGTGCGGGCTGGCGCCCTGAGCCCCAGTGACCGTCCGGCCCTGCCGCTTGTCCCCTCAGGAGAAGTGCTGGTGTTCCTGGACAGCCACTGCGAGGTGAACGTGATGTGGCTGCAGCCCTTGCTGGCGGCCATCCGCGAGGACCGGCGGACGGTCGTGTGCCCGGTGATCGACATCATCAGCGCGGACACGCTGGCCTACAGCTCGTCCCCCGTGGTGCGCGGGGGCTTCAACTGGGGGCTGCACTTCAAGTGGGACCTTGTTCCCCTCTCCGAGCTCGGAGGGCCGGAAGGAGCTACCGCGCCGATAAAGTAAGATTTCTCCTGTGTGTGGGAAAAACTCTCACCAGTCCTACTTCAAAGGGGAAAATTAAAGATAATTCCTCCTTTGCAAGAAGCAGAAGTGTTGGTTTAATTTATTTGTCCATTAAAATTCTGAGGGCTTGCCGAACCTTACGCACTCTGCCCGCCCTAAGGAAAGATTGGTGAGTAAGAAACCGCCCGTGCTCTCACGGGTTTACAGCTTGGCGCTTCCAAAAGGCAGACGGGCAGCCCGCTGAGGGGGGCGGCGCAGGGCTCCTCGGGAGCGCCGTGTCCGTGGTGGTCGCTGTCCCCGGGCGTGGCAGGCGTGAGCCGCCGGGGTCTTAGGGTGGATTCCTCCTGCGGGTTCGAGGCCGCGGCGGTGGTTCTCGCGCAGAGCATCCTGCCTCGCCGGGGCGGGCAGCTTGGGCGCTCACTGCGGCACCGCCTAGCGCAGCGCCTGGGGGCGCGGCGCAGCCCTTGGTCGGCTGCCCGCCTCTCTCTCTCACCAGCAGGATCTCTCAGGCCTGACAGCGCGGGCACGGGGCGCGACAAGCTCTGCCCTTGGCAGCGTCGCGCGTCCGCCGGTCCAGGGCCAGGAGCACCCCCCGCCGAGGCAGCTAAAGGCGCCTCCAGGAGTGAAAGAAACGCGCGCCTGGGGACACAGTCGCCCTGCCTGAGGGCCACTGTCCTCGCCCCTGTCTGAGCCGAGTTCCCAGGGGCCTGTCTGCCTGGTCTCACCATGGCGGGTCCTGGGGTCCGGTTTCTATCCCGGTGGCTCTGATACCACCAGAAATGTCAGGTGTTGTCTGTCAACAGTGGTTGTAATAATAAAAAATAAAGTGCTTTTGGTACTTAGAAAAACAGCCGGCATCTGCCCATTCTCTGGCTGGTCACTGAGGATCTAGAAAACGGGGTGCGTGGTCCGGCCCGCCCCGGTCTGAGGGGAGCTGTTCTGTGGCAGTCCGCCTGGCTCTGGCTGGTGCTGCCCCGAGCTGCCCCGAGCTGCCCCGATCGCCCAGAGCGAGAGCAGCAGAGCCGCCTGCGGTGCTGACAGCCGCCCGCCCTCCTAGGTCCCCCACCATGGCCGGCGGGCTGTTCGCCATGGACAGGGGCTACTTCGACCAGCTGGGCCAGTACGACCGCGGCATGGACATCTGGGGCGGCGAGAACCTGGAGATATCGTTTCGGGTGAGTGGTGTGGTTTTTTTTTTTTGCTTAGTTGTTGGTGTGTACATCCATGATCCTGTATTTCCTGTAAATTCTCTTTGTCTTTATTAAGAAATGGTCGTTAATCCACACTGCTTTGCCATAATCTGTGTTATGGATAATACCCATTCAAACTGTCAGAAGCGTGTAAGAAGCCTTATATTTATTTTATGAGAGTTCAGAAGGGATGGCTGTAGTGAACCGTTTGGTATAAATTCAGACTTAATGTGCATTTAACGTAGCGTTGCTCCTGCTGTGCACGGTTGGGATCCGAGTTCCCTGGCGGCCCCAGGCTGCCTGCGCCACGCTGTCTCCCCGGAGATCACTGGCGGCGCCCCATTGCACTCTCGTATGATGATAGGTCAGCGCCCGTTCCCCGCCCCCCACCTCCCGGTCTGGACGGCAGGACGCACATTCCGACAGCGGCCTGTCCTGTGGCTGTTCGCTCAGTGCTTTTTGTAACTGTATTGACCACAGTACTTTTAAAAGGGAGTCTTTTTCTGACATAATCTTTAGAATCTTAAGTTGAAAGGAATAACATTATTAGCTCAGTCTTAGTTTGTAAATGAGGTCATTGAAACCCACAAAAATTGAAGTAACTCTATAACGTAACTCATAGTCAAAAGTAAAACTTAGAACAGAACTGAGATCTTTTGAATCTTAACCTAGAGTTTTTCTGCATATTTTATAAAAACTTTCTTTACACACATACATATATATGCATTTACACACACAATAAAAAAGAACGTGTAAAACTGAAATTACAGGGCCTGTTGGTAAGCGTTCCTCGTCCCTGAGTCCTAAAGATCAAGCGTCTTGATCTGTTGAAACAGTGCCCGGTAAGCCTGATTTTAGACGCAGGGCAGTAACAGAATATTGTGTTACTCCAGACTTTGAGAGATAATTATAAAAAAAAACACACTTTGACTCTCTTCTTTCTGAATAGTCCCATCTGGTAAGATGGAACGTCTCGCAGAGCCCCACAAATGCCTGTTGCGTGAAGCGGCCCCGTGCTGACTCACAGCCCGGCCTCTGCGCCGCGGGGCGCCGTGTGACACGTGTTTTCCCTCCGACCAGATCTGGATGTGCGGGGGCCAGCTCTTCATCATCCCCTGCTCCAGAGTCGGGCACATTTTCCGAAAAAGGCGGCCGTACGGCTCCCCGGAAGGCCAGGACACCATGACCCACAACTCCCTGCGGCTGGCGCACGTCTGGCTGGACGAGTACAAGGTGGGCCGCGGGGCGAGGCGGCTGCACCCCCTCGCAGGGTCCCGGTGGGGGACGGTGTGCCTCTAGGGTTCTCTCTCTCCTCACGCAGTTTTCACTCTTTTGTTTTGACTCTTCTTTAATTTGCCAAGTGACCAACAGTAAAAGGTGAGAGCCAACACCAGAGTCTGTTTCCGCGGTCCCTCAGCCCCTCCTGCGGCCCCCACAGGACTGGGCTCCTTCCGGAACTTGCGGGGCTTCCCTGTGTCCCCCGTCCCCCGAGCTGCTGCTGGCCGGCGCCGGCGTGTCCCCTCCCGCCTCTCCTGGTTAGATGCAGCCTGCAGGGACGTTTTCTTGGCCGCAGCTTTATTGAGGTTTGAGCCACTAGTCATTCTTCAGAGCGATTGGATTCGTCACCCTCTGAAGCAGCTCCGCTGCCTTCAGCCCCGCCTCCCGCGCCCCGAGGCCCCAGCCCCGAGGCCGCTCCCACCTTTCTCCGTTCAGAACGAGGCGGTCAGGCTCACCCGTATCACACCGCGTGCCCGTTCCCGTTATGGCCAAGACGACAGTCCGTTGTGTGGCAGCGTCGCACCGTCCGTCCTCTCGGGAGCCGGTGGACGTGCGCCTCGTCTCCGCCTCTGCTGGGAAGAGCGCTGCTGTCACCCTTACTTTTCTTAAAGCAGCGTCTGTGGGGCTGATGCCAGCTTTGGGGGCTGCAGAGAGGACGAGGGGAGCGCACTGTCGCTTCTGACTCTGAGGTAGATGTGGGTGGAGGGGCACACGCGGTGTCCCGGGGAGCGGACACGGACCCGCCCTCCTCCCGCCGTGGCACGGAGCTCCCCGAGGCCTGGCCTTGTGCTGCTCGTCCGGGAGCCGCCGCGTCCCCCGCAGCAGCCGCCCTTGGTGCCCGCAGACCAGGGAGGCCCTGGCCGCCCTCCCAGGCCATCGGCCAGCCCGGCTGTCCTCGCGGCCAGGTCCGCAGCAGGTGTGAAATCCCACCATGGGGACACTGCACGGGCGGAGCCGCTGGCAGCAAGCCGCGCCCCGGCTGCCAGCTCATTCAGAAGTTGGAAGAGAAGAACGTCACGGGGCAGTAGTAAAAAAAGTAACCGCCTCTGTTAGGCCTCGGCATGTCCGAGTGTCCTCTGTCAGTGTGCCCAGCAGGGGGGCCAGGGCTGTGGGCCAGGGACAGCGGCTGTTCCCGGGAAGGGCGTGCACACGCGTGTCTGAGTCGTGACCGGACCGGCCCCTTCCCGTGGGACACGTCTCACGTGAGAGTGAATTGCAGCCGTGGCATGTGGGAGTCACGTCTGGGAATTCGGCAGATATTTCCTCACAAACCACAGAGCCTCTCACTTCAAGGAATACAACTGCCCGTACTTACTGCAAGTGGTAAAAGTAAGGCTTTCAGGTGGAAATGAGGGTTTTCGGTTATTTGTGTTCTGCGCCATGAGTTTGGTAGCTTCCCAGCACTTCAGAACTTTTCTGCTGAGCTCGGTAGTGACATTCAGGAGCATAACTTTCTGGATACCGTAAAGTGAAGTTGATTTATTGGGAAGGACTTCACAGACCAGTATTTTCCAAGTGACCAGCACACGAAGATGGAAAAGTCTTGTGGGGGTGAAAGAGCAAGACCGGCCGGACCGGTGGATTTTAACACGAATGCAAAAAGCTCAAAGTGATGACTTCATAACGCACATCGCAGCTAACCTTTACAGTTACTGAGTTTTAATGCAGTATCGAAAAAGGCCAGCCACGATTACCTGAAAGCCACCAAAATGTTTTCACTTGAAACTGCCTGTTTTCGTCACCTTGACGTCGCAGGCTGGCTGCAGGCCGGGGCGCCCAGCCGCTGGCTCGTGTTCAGGCGCGGACGGCGGGCCCTCTTGCGCTCGGTGTCCGCCCCAGACATACCCATATTTCGTTGGTAGGTCATGGGCTTGTTTTTAATGGCTTCAGTGGCCTTAAATTTCTGGAGGTTCGCTCCTGACGTGTACGTGCCAGCAGGTGCACCACACGGAGACAGAGCCGCCTCAGAGCCCTCGGCGAGGCCCGGGGGTTGGGGCCCTGACGCCGCGCCGTCGCGTGTCTGTGGTGTGCGCCGCGGCTCTCAGATGTAACTGAATCTATTTTTACACGCTTTGCCATTTCTGGAATTGAGGTGTGTCTTACCATTTAAGGCCTCTTACCATCGTCGTCAATTAGGGGCCGAATTGTATAAAAACTTTCCATGGACATTTTTTGTCAAAATCAAGAAAACGCTGATGTGAAAAATGTTTTTGCTCATAATCTGTTTTTTCACTGGTTCTTTAACACCTCAGATATAATTGGTGATATCTTTTAACAGAAAACTCATTCTCTTTCTGAAACTCAGGAGCAGTATTTTTCCTTGAGACCGGATCTGAGGACAAGAAGCTACGGGAACATCAGCGAGCGTGTTGAATTGAGGAAGAAGCTGGGCTGTAAATCATTCAAGTGGTACTTGGATAACATCTACCCAGAGATGCAGGTGTCGGGGCCCAACGCCAAAGCCCAGCAGCCCGTCTTCGTCAACCGGGGGCCGAAGCGCCCCAAAGTGCTTCAGCGGGGGCGGGTAAGGAGGCCATCTTGCCGGCGGTCCTTTTACAAGGGGTGCGAAACAGTAAATGACGCCGTACACCTACCAAGTGGTTAATGGCAGACTTCAGCTCGCCTTCCATTGCATCCTCCAGGTGTGAGACCTCAGAGATTGAAACTTCTCTGCTCTTAAGCCCTTCGCCTGCCGCTCTTGGGAGAGTGGGACTTCTCACTTCTCTAAGTAACTTCTTGCTCCCAAGGGGACAGGCAGAAATATGCATGTGAAAGGCAGTGTGAGTGTAAATTCATGGGGCAGAAGAAACGCATCAAATGCGGAAAACAAGAGGGGAGGGGAGGGCAGGGCGGCCGCACAGCGCCGGCCTCGGACCTGCCCGGGCTGCGGAGGCGCAGCTTCGGCGTCGGCACCGGGTGAGGCTCCCACCGGGGCCCTGGGCGGGCGTCCGAGCAGAGCAGAAAACCCACTGAGCAGCCCCATTTGTTCCGATGGTCCCTGCTGTTTCTTACAGAATTTTGTCAGTTTTATAATCACACTTAAATCTTTGGGGTCTAGCCCAAGATCCATACCTTTTTCTGGAACCGTGTCTTAGCATTTGCTTTCTGGGGGCTGTGCAGGCGCCGTGACCCTGCCCAGCCTGCTGTGCAGCACACGGGCTCCGCCCTCGGGCGTCTTGCCCGACACCCCCGCGGGGCGGCTGGCCAGGAGCCCGGACCCCCCGCCCCCCCGCCGCTGGCTGTCTGGAGATGACCCCCACTGAAGTCAGCCCTCCACAGCGTCAGCCCTCACTGTTACGATTCTTGCCTCGCACAGCAGCTCCCAGGGCAGAAAGCTGCCCTTCTGCAGACGCCAGGCGCTCTGCTGCTTTTACGTCTCAGCTTTTGGATTCTCGCGGTGTTTATAATGTGTCCACCCCCAGTTTAGCGTGTATATTGCATTTAACTAGGTCGTGGTTGCCTTGTGCCTTCTGTCCTTCCCTCCCCAATGCCCCGCTCAGTGCAGCGGTGACGGTTTGATTTCCCTCCCCTGGGGATTAGTAACCTGTGTCTTCAGGTGGAATTCCCGCTTGGCCTTGCCTGTGCCTTTGTCAGAGTCGCCTGCAGCCTGGAACGGTGCTGCAGTGCCCTGCAGCTAGAAAGTAGGGAGAAAAAGCTTTGTGTGACCTTCGCAGTTGAAACTTTTAGCAAGTATTCTGCTTCAGCCCAGCCTGTCTCGTGCTGGCCTGTCCCCAAGGCCGGGTGTCACGAGCGGCCTCTTCCTTCGCAGCTCTATCACCTGCAGACCAGCAAGTGCCTGGTGGCCCAGGGCCGGCCGAGCCAGAAGGGGGGCCTCGTGGCGCTGAAGGCCTGCGACTACAGCGACCCCAACCAGGTGAGCTGTGCCACGCTCACGGCCGCTTGGGGGGTGGGGGCGGGGGTGGGGGCAGGCGTTCCTGGCGAGGGCGGGGCAGGCGTCCTGGTTTCGGGTGACTCCCGTCCTGGCAGCGTTGTGTGTGTTCAGAGCTGCGTGGAGCAGCTGAGTGCTGCGTGGACCTGCGAGCCGCGGCGAAGGCAGCGCGCTCCCCGCGCCCGCCCCGGCTGCCGTCAGCTTGCTCCCCAGATCGAAGGGTCTGGTGCCGACGACAGTTCACTCATTTTGCTGTTTTAGAGCCCACACGTGAGTGGGATCATTAGGCGGAGGTGCACCCTGCCCCGCCCCCCACCCCGCGCACGCGCTCAACACGGCGGCCTCCGGTCCGTCTCGGCCGTGGCGCCCCGCGCCGAGCCGCGTCCTCTGTAAGCGCGCACCCCTCGCCCGCCCGCCTGCCGAGGGGCACCAGGCTGCCGGAGGCCGCAGGTGACGGGCGAGGCCGTGTTTTCGTTTCCTTTGGTTCAGTGCCCCGGGGTGGGATTGCTGGGTCGTGGTTTCAGTTTTCTGAGGAAATGCAGTACTGCCTTCGACAGCAGCTGCACCAATTTACAGTCCCACCGACGTGCGCGAGGGTCCCCTCACTCCGCGCCCGCTCCAGCGCTGGTCGGTGTATTGGTGACGGCCATTCTGATGGGTGAGCGGGTGCCTTGCTGTGGTTTTAATCTGCATGTCCCTGAGGATTAGTGGTGGTGACCGTGTGTATGTCCTCTCGGGGGAGGTCTACGCAGGTCCTCTGCCCATTTATTTAAAAGATTTTATATATTTATTTTGAGAGGCGGGGAAGGGAGGGAAAGAAACGTCAGTCGGTTGCCTCTTGCGTGTCCCCAGCTGAGGGCCTGGCCCACAGTCCAGGCCTGCGCCCTGACTGGGGATCGAACCGGCGGCGTTTTGGTTCGAAGGCTGGTGCTCAATCCACGGAGCCCCACCAGCCAGGGCATGTGCCCATTTGTAGGTTGGGTTGTTTTGGGGATTTTTTTGATGTTAAGTTGTATGAGTTCTTTATATTTTTTGGATATTAACCCTGTCAGATGTGTCACTTGCAAATATCTCCTCCCATTCAGTAAATTGTCTTCTCATTTTGTTTCCTTTGTGGTTCAGAAGCTTTATTAGCCCATTGTAGTCCCATGTGTTTATTTCTTCATTTGTTTCCCTTGCCCAAGGAGATGCATCCGTGTTACAGTTTTCACATTATAGGTGTTTTATCTCTAGGCATTTTATTTTTTTTAATGTAGTTATGAGTGGGATTATTTTCTTAATTTTCTTCTGAGCATTCATTATTGGTATGTAGAAGCACAATAGATTTCTGTATATTGATTCTGTATCCCGCAACCTAAGTCGTTTAATAGAGTCTTTAGGGTTTTCTATGTATAATATCATGCCATCTACAAATAATGAGTTTTACGTCTTCCTTTCCCATTTGGATGCCCTTTATTTCTTTGTCTTCTGACTGCTGTGGGTAGGACTTTGGTCTCGATCTTCCACTTTCTTCCTTAGGTCTGGATTTATAATGAAGAGCATGAACTGATCTTAAGTAACCTCCTCTGCCTGGACATGTCAGAAACGCGGTCGTCAGACCCACCACGACTCATGAAGTGCCACGGGTCGGGGGGGTCCCAGCAGTGGACCTTTGGGGTGAGGAGCGGCCTGGGGAGGGGAGGCGGGCGGACGCTCACCCCCGCCCCCTGCAGGAGGGGTCCTGAGCCGGCGGCAGCCCGGACGGGACCTCGAACGTCGCACGGTGTCTGGGTCACTGTAGCTTCCTTGCTGCTCCCAACAGTGTTGTAAGTTACCTCTTTTTTATTTTTTCAGAAGAATAATCGGCTGTACCAGGTGTCGGTCGGACAGTGCCTGAAAGCAGTTGACCCCCTGAGTCGCAAAGGCTTCGTTGCCATGGCGATCTGTGACGGCTCCTCCTCCCAGCAGTGGCACTTGGAAGGTTAAGGCGGACCCCGTGCTGGGACTGCCCCTCGGGGGGACTGCCCCTCGGGGGGACTGCCCGGGGAGAGGGGCCACCGGGAGGCAGCGGCAGCGACACCGACACCGTGGGAGTGAGACGCCGGGACCGCAGGAGGGGAGGCCTAGGGCGGGGTCCTTTCAAGGCGGCTGTTAGGGAATTTCTCACTTATGGTAGAAAACCAACAGTTTTAACATAAAGAGGCAGGTTTATTAGAAAGACAAAACCCAGGAAATGCCAGGTCTGTTCAAATTAATTTATGCTTCTTTTAATTCCCTTTCATAATGGATGGAATGGTGTTCGATTGGGACTTGTCATAATTTCCCTTCTTAGAAGACTTCACAGCAGACGGTTAATTTTAAACAGAGTCCATGTTACTTTTAACTTCAGAAGGAATCATTTATAGGGTCATATTTAAGAGGCAGTCGACTATTATAAATTATTTTGATTAATTATGGTACTATCTACATTTAAAATAAAGGATCTCTTTAATTACTTACTATCCTCTTGTGGTGGTGCCTCAGGTCTGAGCCGTCCTGGGTGTGAGGTGTGGTGACGCGGGGACCCGACTGCCGCTCGGGAGCAGCTCTAGCGGCGGGGACATGTGCAGTGGTTTAGCGCGAATCATGAATTTGAGGCTGAAGGCACGTGAATTTGGGTGCTTTATACTAAAGCTGACTGCGCGACACGTAGGCAGGGTCGTTACATAGGTCATTGGGCATAGAGGTCGAAATTTCTATACAACACACACGTACACACAGAGATCTCAATTAGATACGCTCACACACACTCACCCACCCCCCAACACCTCAGTTAGAGATACAAATTTGGGAGTCATCTGTGTGTATAAAATGCCCAAAACACAAAACGAGTTATTTTCACTCATAGGGCCTCTGAGAGGCCCAGTTGTGGGCATTTCTCAGTTCCTGTGTCTTTTACCCACAAAGCAGTTGAAGCATCTTATTAGGAACATGTTGGAGAAAAACCTCTCTCTATCCCAAAATTTATATCAGTCATTCAGCTTCAAAGACCTGATGGTACCTAATAGAAAACACAACGCAGCAAGCTGGTAGATTTAAACTAAACAAAATGAGTGAATGCCCCAGTCAGGAGGCAGAGGTGGTGAGACTGGGTAAAAATGCAAGACCCAACTATACGCTGCCTTCAAGAAACTCATTTTAAATAGGACACAAGTAAGTGAAGCAGACGGGAAAATACGCGTGCGTTAAGCACTAACCGCGAGCCGTGGAGCAGCTGCATTGATGCCAAAGGGGATCCCACTGCTGGGGAGACGGTCTCGGGACCACGGGGCGGGCGGGCGGTTGTCACTGGGAGGAAACGAACTACCCGCCACCAGGACTGCTCTGTCGGAGCTTCCGGAAGAGACCTCACCTGCGATGGTAAGAGAGTTCACCGGCCTCTCAATAGCGAGAGAAAGCACAGTCATTAGGGGAAGAAAACTCAAAACAACAGTGCGAACCAACTTGACACAGTTAACGTGATGGAACACCCCACCCGACTAGAACACATCTCTCCTCCCCCAGTGCAGGGAGCCAGCCGTTCACGGAGGGAGTGTGTTCTGGGATATTAAACAAGTTTCAGTTTGTACAGATTCAGCTCATGAAACTTCTATTAGAAATCAGTAACAATAATAAAGCCACCTGAAAACCTACCAGTAATGCCTTTCTAACACTTGTGGGTCAAAGAAGAAATCAGAAGGCTACTTTGAACTGACTGCAAATGAAACCGTAACATCAAAGATTGGAGGACGCAGCTAACCCAGTACTTAGAAAATTTGTAGCACCAAACTCCTGTATCAGAAAGGATTGAAAGTATCAAAATCAGTGAGTGAGGCTTTTTACCTGAAGAAAAAAAAAGAGCAAAGAAGCAGAAGAAATATTAAACATCAGAACCGAAACAAATGAAAAGGAATCAATGGAACCAAAAACTGGATGAATATCAAAACCGGTAAGACCTCTAGTAAAAAAAAGACACAAATTCAACATCAGTAAAGAGAATGGCAGCCTTCTGCGAGAATCTACAGATGATAAAAAGGATTAGAAGCAATAGGAATTTTCACTCATCGCTGGTTGGGATGCAAAAATGGTACAGCCATGTTGGCGCAAATTTTTTGTTTTTTAAGTTTATAGAGAGGAGAAGGGAGGGAGAAAGCGAGAGAAACATCAATGTGTGGTTGCCTCCTGCACGGCCCCTACGGGGGACCTGGCCTGCAACCCAGGCCTGTGCCCTGACTGGGAATCAAACCAGTGACCCTTCGGTTCGCAGGCCGGTGCTCAGTCCAACGAACCATACCAGCCAGGGCTGGTGGAATTCCTTAGAAAACTAAATGTACAGTCTAACAAAACCAGCCTTATTGTATGATCCAACAGTCAAGCTTCTTGGTATTTACTGAAAGGAGCTGAAAACTTCATGCCCATACAAAAACCTTATTTATAGCAGCTTTATTAATAATTGCCAAAAATTGGGAGCAGCCAAGGAGACGCCCTTCAGGGAGTGAGTGGACAAGCTGTGGTCCATCCAGACAGGGGGACAGTATGCAGTGTTCAAAAGAACAGGTACCAAGGCACACAAAGACGTAGAGGAGCCCTGAACGCAGGTTACTCAGTGAAAGGAGCCACCCTGGAAGCCTGCTACTGGGTGGGGCCCGCTGGACGACATTCCAGAAAAGGCACAGCCCAGGAGCCAGCAGCGGCGTTTGCTGAGGCGGAGGGCGAGCGGCCAGTGCGCCGAGGGCCAGAACCCGCGGGACGCACAGGACCCAGAGTAGAGCCTGGTGCGACCTGCGCTTGGGAGGACAGGGATGTGCCAGCGTCGGTTCATCAGAGGGAACCAGGCACCGGTGACGCAGGTGCTGCGGGCGGGGCGGGGCGGTAGTGTGTGTACGTACGTACGTACCACCCGTGACGCTGTGCGCCCGAAGCTGCTTTACAAAAGGAACAAAAGGATACGGGATCACGAAGACCAACTTTATGCCAATACATGAAATGGACAGATTCCTTGAAAGAAACAAATTCCCCAACTTCTCTGAAAAAACAGGTAACTGAAACTTGTAGTTTAAAAACCTTCCCACATAGGCCACTCGGCCCAGATGGTTTCACTGGTGAATTCTGTCGAACAATGGAGGAAAAAAACTATACCCATAACACACAAGTTTCTTCTGGAAAACCGAGAGGTTTTGGCATTATGAGCAATTTTAAAAGCAAGACACCAGAAAACTACCGACCAATAGCCATCACGAACACAGAAGCAAGTTCCCTTATAAAACGCGAGCAAACCAATACCAGCAACACGCGAAAGGCGTGCAGTGAGGCGAAAGAGGGCTTGACGCCGGGAACAAGAAGGCGCTTCACGGTCGCAGGACCAGTCCCTGTGGTCAGTCTCCTGTGATACGGTACCGGAGAAGAGGCTTACGATCTTGCAGGAAAAAACCTTTGATAAAATCCAATACCCACCTATGGTAAAACTTAGCAAACGAGGATGGAAGAGAGATCCTTCCCTTCCATCTCAGCCTGAGACGACAGTGGTCTCATAAAGCAAGGAGAGGCCGGGTCAGGGACACGGTGCGCGCCTGCGCTCGCCGCTGCCGCCAGCACCGGGGGCGATGGCCTTCGCCAAGGCTGCAGGTGGGCGGCGCGTGCACATCGTGGGGGAAGAAGGAAAATTGTATTTGAAAACTGAAGTCAAGTGTGTAGAAAATCCTAGGGAGTTTTAAAAAGACACTACTAAATATCTAGTAAGAGAATTTATCAGGACCACAAAATAATAGGTCAGTATAAAACTGAATTGTACTTTTTAAAAAACATCCTCTGCAACCCCTCCACTGCCTTTAGGGACAGAGAAAGGTAGAGAGAGAAACATGGATGTTGACAAGAAAGCACTGACTGGCTGCCTCCCATGTGTGCCCAGAACGGGACTGAACCCACAACCTTCTGCTGAGGGGGTGATGCTCCAACCAGCAGAGCCCACCGGCCAGGGCTGAACTGTACTTTGATACGGTAGCGACAAGCAGGTCAAAAGTGAAAATAATGGTGTTGTCATTGCAATATACAATAGCATCAGACACAGGATCAACAAAACGTACAAGTCCTCGCTGAGAGGAAATAAGACCCCAACAAACTGAAAGCTGCATCGCACGGGTTAGGATACTCGGTTGTAAGGACGGGAATTTTCCACCTTTGACCTACAGATCTAATGCTGCCCCATCAAAATCCCAGTCGGCTTTTTGTAGTTGCCATCTAGCTTTTAAATTTACATGAAAATGCATGTAAGTAAGTGGCCAAAAATAATTTTGCAGAGTAAGAAAGTCAGAGGACTTGCACAAACTCAAGACTGACCGTGATGAAGGCTGACGGTAAGGAGCGAATTGGCGGAGCAGACGGCCCCACCCGCGCGGCCGCGGTGCCCAGCGGAGGAGCCCACAGGGCTTCTGGGCGGGGGCTGGTCCGAGCTGTGCGGCCGGCGCTCCAGGCCCACGGACACACGGGAACCTGTACCACACTCACAAACGACGTCAAAACTAACGCTGGAAAATCAGTACCTTCTTGACGTTAGGGTAGGCAAACCTTTCTTTCTTTAGGTTTTAAAAATAGCTTTTCCCCCTTACAGTTCATATAGGCCTCTAACAGAACACCGGAAAAGCACAAGCAGCAAAGAACAGTCATTCATGATCACAAGCAGTTTACAGTTTCGCGTTTCCTTCTAGGTCCCCTGTGTGGAGATACGCGACAAAACTTCCATTTTTACGTCACTGAGATTGTGGTTACGCATCACACGTCACACTTCGTGGATATTTACCATTTCAAAGTCTCAAATCTATATGAGTATTTTGATAACCAAGAATACCCTATACCAACCCAGTCTGGAGACAAAAATGTAATCCTGCCTTTCTTGGCGACAAAAATAGCAACAGGCTTCTAGATAAAACCACTGGTAGAGTTATGATTAAAATATCGCATTCCCTTAAAGTTCGACTTAAAAAAGGCGCAAAGCAGGAGTACACAGAGCGCGGTGCTGCTGAGAGTTCGTGTGCTCCGTACTTTTAAAACATTAGCAAGGAGGCACGTTTCCACGGAACAGTGTGTCCGCACAGCGCTGCGGGAAGAGACGCACACCGGCGGTTACTGCGCAGCACGTGCTGAGCACGCGACTACGAGCTGGTCCGCACCCGCTGCCCTCCGTTTCTGAGGTCGTTTAACAAGCCTGTATCCGCGATTAGGCAAAGGTTTCTTAACTCAGGGAAAGGACTAGTCAAAAAAGATGACTTGCGTGTCACCAGAATTAAAATCTGCTCATGAAACCATTGCGAAAATGAAAAGGTAAGCCACAGGCTCGTATCCAGAGTCTATAAACAATCGTTAGAATTCAGTGAAAGGGCAACTCGCCCACAGACACACCGGAGGGGAGGGCGTGGGGGAGGCGGAGGGGGTGCGGGGGGATAAACGGTGATGGAAGGAGACTTGACTTGGGGGGTGGAATTCCAGAATTGT